TCAGCCTCCTGAGTAGCTGGGACTACAGGTGCCCGCCACCACGCCTGGCTAATTTTTTGTATTTTTAGTAGAGACGGGGTTTCACCGTGTTAGCCAGGATAGTCTTGATCTCCCGACCTTGTGATCTGCCCGCCTCAGCCTCCCAAAGTGCTGGGATTGATGGCACAAGGGGTCAGTGCCCGTAACCCTCATGCTGTTCAAGGGTCCATTATAGATCCAAAGGAAATAAAATCAGTATGTTAAAAATATACCTGGAGCATTATTCAAAACAGCCAAGAGATGGAATCAACCTGAGTGTCCATCAACAGATGAATGGATAAAGAAAATGTGGCAGATATACACAATGGAATATTAGCCTTAACAATGAAGAAAATCCTGTCATTTGCAACAACATGGATAAACCTGGAGGACATTATGTTAAGTGAAATAAGTCAGGCACAGAAAGACAAATTCCACGTGATCTCATTTACAAGTAAAATCTTAAAGAGTTAAACTCAAAGAAACCAAGAGCAGAATGGTGGTTACCAGGGGCTAGGGAGTTGGGGACACTGGGGAGGTAGTGGTTAAAGGATACCAAATTCCAGTTAGAAGGAATAAGTTCAAGAGATCTATTGGATACCATGGTGACTAAAGTTAATAACAATACATTATATACCTGAAAATTACTAAAAGAGTAGATTTTAAATTTCTAACCACACAAAATGGTAAGTATATGACATCATCCGCATGTTAGATTTAGCCATTCCACATGTATATATGTATCAAAACATCAAGATGCATACCACAAATATGTACAATTTTTGTCAATTAAAAAAATAAATTTTAAAAAGAAAATAAAGTCACTGACCCCTGACAAGGATTGACAAATCATAGCTCAGGTAAAGGAAGGGTAAACAAATTAAACAAAGTTTGCTATGTGAAATAACGAAACCTTAAGAAATCTCTATACCCTTCCATATCTTTTATTATTGTGGTAAAATACACATAACATACAATTGACCATTTTAGCCATTTTTTAGTGCACAGTTCAGTGGCATTAAGTCCATTCACTTTGTTGCATCAACCGTCATCACCAGCCACCTCCAGAAGCTGCATCTTCCCAAACTGAAACTCTGTCCTCACTAAGCACTACGTCCCCACTTTCCTCCCCCAAGCACCTGGCACGCACCATTCCACTTTCTGTCTCTCTGAATCAGGCTACTCTAGGGACCGCTAAGAAGTGGACTCATACAGCATTTGTCCCTTCATATCTGGCTTATTTCACTGAGCATAATGTCCTCAAGGTTCATCCATGTTATAGCCTATGTCAGAATGTCCTTCCTTCCTTTTTTTTTTTTTCTTTTTTGAGATGGAGTCTCGCTTTGTCACCCAAGCTGGAGTGTAGTGGCATAATCTCAGCTCACTGCAACCTCCGCCTCCCGGGTTCAAGCGATTCTCCTGCCTCAGCCTCCTAAGTAGCTGGGATTACAGGCGTGCACTAACACGCCCAGCTAACTTTTTGTGTATTTTTAGTAGAGATGGGGTTTCATTATGTTGGTCAGGCTGGTCTCGAACTCCTAACCTCGTGATCTGCCCACCTCGGCCTCAAAGTGCTGGGATTACATGCTTGAGCCACAGTGCCCGGCCTAGAATGCCCTTCCTTTCTATGGTTGAATTCTATTCCATTTCCTTATCCATTTGCCTATCAGTGAGCCCTTGGGTGGCTTCCACATTTCAACCATTACGAAAAATGTTACTATGGTCATGGCTGTACAAATACAATGCTGTTTTTAACTTCTAATTTACATGTACTTATTTTTGTCATGTCCATTTCTGGAATTGTATTTATTAAAGGGATTACAATTGAATCACCTACTGTCTCAGGCCACTTTTCTGGAAATATGTTTTTTTTCAAGATAGAGGCTTGCTATTTCCACAGCTCCGCTTCCTCCACTCTCTGTCCAGGCCAGGCCTGAACATTCCACCCCTCTCTTAACTGGGAAAGCACCAGAAAACACCATACAGAAACCACCCAGCCACAAAGGGATTCAGTCCCTATTTGCCACAAATAGAGAGGGTGCACACCATCCGGGAAGGCACTTCCAAAGCAGCGGGCTCCAGGAGGGCAGGCCCACAGCTCTCTGCGCCTCAGCTCCCCAGGTGTAAAATGGGCACTGGACCACCTGCCGCAGGGCCCTCCAAGCTCTCCAGGCTGTGCCAGGCTCAGCATCCTGCACTGCTGCCATGCGCTCCCTCCTGCAACCCCAGTATTTTCCAGTAACTTCCTCACATTCATTGCAAGGATTATGTAACAGTGTGGCTCCAGTGCTGACAAGGGTATGCAGGAAGGAGAGCTCTCCTATGCTGCTGGGGCAAAGAAAACCGGAACAGCACTTTGGTGACTGACTCAGGAATACCTGGCCAAGCTGAAGTGTGCACACCAGCAACCCGCCAGGCTCATGCCTTCTCTTGGGATCCTCCGGTGCTTGTCTGAGGAGTCGGGAGGCAGTGAACAGACACAATTGCTGTAGCACTCTCTGTGCAGACTGAGCATCCCGAATCCAACAATTCCAAATCTGAAATGCTCCAAAATCTGAAACTTTTTGAGTGCCGATGTGATGCTTAAAGGAAATGCTCACTGGAGTATTTTGGATTCGGGATGCTTGACTAGTAAAAAATAATGCAAATATTCAAAAATCCAAAAAAAGATCTGATACCCAAAACACTCCTGACCCCAAGAATTTCAGATAAGGGATACTCAAGCTGTACTTTCGAAAAAGAGAAAACAATTTAATTACCCAGGAATAGGACATGGGTAAGTGAGCTCGGGTTCCTCTAGAATCCTGAATTATAGCTGAAGCAAAATGGACTACAAAGAAAAGAACTACAAAAACTAACCTGGAGAAGTCTCAAAATTACAGTGATCGACGTAGAGAAAGCTTGTTGCAAAAGTGTACATAAAAAATGATAAAAATGTTAAACACACAAATACGCCAGCTGTCACAGGGATACGTGAGAGGTGGGGTGGACCGGCCGGCAACACTCTCCTCCATCTGGGGCCACACAGGCGTCCCCTCCTTGCTGTCTGCTAAATGGCACCCACACACCTAACTTGATAATAAAATGCAGACAGAGGCCGGGCGCGGTGGCTCAAGCCTGTAATTCCAGCACTTTGGGAGGCCAAGACGGGTGGATCACGAGGTCAGGAGATCGAGACCATCCTGGCTAACACGGTGAAACCCCGTCTCCACTAAAAAATACAAAAAACTAGCCGGGCGAGGTGGCAGGCACCTGTAGTCCCAGCTACTTGGGAGACTGAGCCAGGAGAATGGCGTAAACCCGGGAGGCGGAGCTTGCAGTGAGCTGAGATCCGGCCACTGCACTCCAGCCTGGGCGACAGAGCAAGACTCTGTCTCAAAAAAAAAAAAATAATAATGCAGACAGAGCCATAAACATCTTACAGCAACACAGGTAACATATAAACACAGGCTAAAAATGAAGAAAGAGCAGACCAACTTTAGAAGAACAGTCATCAGTGTAGGTAGGAAGAGGAGGAACAGAGGATGGGACTTCATTATAGATGATGCTTTCAAAAACAGATTCTTTATATACACATATGGAAAATATACATGTGAGTTATGGGGAAGGGGGGAAGCACTGATTCCTTCTTTTCCCTCCTAAAGTGAGACCATATCCTCATGTCTAACTGCAACTCTAGACTGTAAATTACAAATCAGTGCATTCAGCAGCCAACAAGAACATTGTATTTCTCCACATAGAGCTGGTCTTTGGATTTGCTAGTTATGCTGAATATAACTGGCAAATAAACCGTTTTTATTAATGGGGAAAATTCAGAGCCCAAGAGTAAGAAATATAATAATAATAATAACAACAACAACAATAATATAATGAGTACAAGGGTAAGACCTGTATTAAAGAGAAAATTTCAGCTGGTCATGGAGAATCACATCTATAATCCCAGCACTTGCTCCCAAAGGCTGAGGTGGGAGGATCACTTGAAACAAACAGTTCAAAATCAGCCTAGGTAACATAGCAAGACCCCATCTCTGCAAAAAAAGAAATAAAAAAAATTAGCCAGGCACGGTGACACGCGCCTATAGTCCCAGCTACTCAGGAGGCTGAGGCAAGAGGATCATTTGGGCCCAGAAGTTTAAAGGTACAGTAAGCTGATGCCCCTGCACTCCAACCTGGGCAATAGAGCGAGATCCCATCCCTAAAATAATACAAAACCAAAAAAGACAGAGAGAAAGTGTCTTAGGACTTATTTCAGAAGCTTTTATGCTTTATGGTATCTGATGAGTCTAGTAAGTTGAGCATATAAACTGTTAGCAACAGGAACATGAATTCTACATAACATCTACATAGTTCATATATATGTAAACATATGTATATAAATCTAGACATATCATAAGATATAAAGTCTACAACAGGATGTACATATTTGAGCAACAGATATCAGATGCCCTGAGATATGATTCACCTGTGGAAGCTGTACAAATCAATGGTTTTTAATAAATTCACAGAGTTCTACAACTAACACCACCATCAATTCTAGAACATTTCATCCCCCCAACGTGAACCCTTCAGCCCATCAGCAGTCACTCTCCATTTTCCCCCAGGAGTCCCTCACCCAGGCCCTGGCAACATGAACCTCCTTTGGGTCTCTGCAGGTTTATCTACTCTGGATAGTTCGTATAAATGGAATCACACAATATGAGGCTTTTTGTGTCCAGCTTTTTCTACTTGACACCTAATTTTCAGGGTTCATCTGCACTGGAGCAAGTGTCAGACTCCCGCTCCTTTTCAAGGCGGAATAACGTCCCATTATGTGGACGGATCACACTTTCTTCATCCACCCATCAGTTGATGGGCCAGATGCCGTTTTGATTTTTTTCCTACTGTAAGGGTTCGGCGTTTTCGATGATTCTAAACAAAGCAAACTGCCCGTCCCCGGCATCAAGTTCACTTCCTCCTGCAGGGAAAGGGGCTCCCGGGCTCACCTTCTCCTCGGCCGACCTGAGCACACTGGAGACCTCCTGCACTGCCAGCTCCAGGGGCTGCTGCCGCGGGTCCTCCTCGAAGGACAGGAAAGGCGGGCCCTGGAACAGAGGGGCGGCATGAGGAGGGGCATGCACAGGAGGGGCTGCATCTTTTAAATTACATATCTGTTTAAAATTCTGAAAAATTAAGAAAATGTACTAACACGTCTTTCTGTCAACCCTGTGCTTCTAAATGGCAGCAGCGGCTAAATATCAGTAGGTTTGCACATCCAAGGAGCAGCTGCTGATGGCTTGTGCTCAGTGGGCAGGATTCAGTTACAGGAGAAGGCTGGGAAAGGACAGGCACCCAGGAGCGAAGCTGAAGATGCTGCAGGAAGCCTGTGAAGGGCATTCGGAATCTTCCTGCTGACAGCATAAGGAAAGAAATAGACTCTCGGGGCAGGGCCGCTTCGTGCACATTAGAGGATCTGTGGGTCTAGCGGTCACCTTGGCCGGCACAGTGGGCTCCGGCTGTGTCCTCCCTGATTGCTAGGGACAGTCCTCTACTCTGGTCTAGGAGAGGCACCTCTCCCTGTTGCGTGTGGTTGCTGTGGCACGGTTACTTAGGGTGCCCCCATTCTCCTCTCCTACCCCCCAGGGCTGGTCTCTGCCTGGGATCTGAGAGGGTGGCCAAGATTCCTTGGCTGGAAAGGAGCCCAGCTGGTGGCTGCCCACAGAGTAGACTCCTTGGCCCCTACTTCACAGCCCTCTGGAGCCACCTGGCCCCAAGGTTCACCTTTGCCCATGGCTCTGCATGTTCCCCCGGCATCCTTTCAGGAAACTCGGTCAGCTCGTGTCTGTTCTGGTTCTTCCAATTAAAAATCTCCAAGCAAGGCCAGGCATGGTGGCTCACACCCGTAATCCCAAAACTTTGGGAGGCCAAGGCGGGCAGATCACTCAAGGCCAGCAGTTCAAGACCAGCCTGACCACATGGCAAAACCCTGTCTCTACCAAAAATAGAAAAATTAACTGGGTGTGGTGGCACACATGGGTAATCCTAGCTGCTCAGGAAGCTGAGGCGCAAGAATCACTCGCACCCAGGAGGTGAAGGTTGTATTTAGCTGGATCACACTCCAGCCTGGGCGACAGAGCAAGGCCCTGTCTCAAAGAGAAAAAATAAAATCTCCAAACAAGAGATGCACAATTAAATAAACAGGACCACAAGGCAACAAGACCAACATTTTATAACAAAGAAACCAGGGTTTATGTGGCCAGCCAAGTCTTGCTCTTTCAAAACTAAGCTCTCGAAAGGCCAAATGTGTATGCCAACGACACAACCCCACATTGAAACTCTCCTTGAACTCTGTTCCTGACATGGTGTAGAAAGCACATCAGGTTTAAGTAAGCTCCGACTGGGTGGTTAAAAAACACGCAGCCCCACAGGCTCCCATTGTATCTCATCTCCACCACAGTGAGCTAGGTCCAGCTACAAGGCATGACCGAGGGTGGGAGACGGGAAGCGGTGTAAAACCGTGCCATGGCGATTCCAGCAAGCATGGTGCAAGTGAGCAAGCAATGAGGTTATGCTGTGGCTATTTATTAAGAATTCCTAATGACCCGAGTAAACCTAAAAGCGACAGAACATTTTGATTTATACACTTCTAACCTCACCCTGTTCTTGCACTATCTACCTCATCCCCAAAAAATCAGCAAAGAATTAAATGCACTGCTCAAGAGGGATGAAATCACAGTTTCGGGGCTGCTCTGCTGGCATTCTCTGTGGTGGGAGCTTGTTTGGGTGGGACCTGCTGGCCAGGGCCACGCTGTGAGCTTGGTGATGAGACAGTTCTGTGCACCAGGCTCTCTGGCCTGAGAGAACAGAACCCAGCACAGAGAACAGTGCCAGGCAGAGAACCATGAGCAGGCAACATGCCAGCAGCTCGGAGGATGCAGTGGAGAAACAATGTACCTTCTGTGGTAGTCTAAAGATAGGACGTTGCCCTACACCAGCCTAGGTGCAGACTCATGCTCCCCTGGGGCAGCAGATGCAGTGTTTACCCTCTTCCCTTGCTACCTTCTGAATTCAAACCTTGAAAAGAGTTTGCAGCCGGGTATGGTGGCTCACGCCTGTAATTCCAGCACTTTGGGAGGCTGAGGCGGGTGGATCACAAGGTCAGGAGATCGAGACCATCCTGGCTAACAAGGTGAAACCCCATCTCTACTAAAAATACAAAAAAGTTAGCCAGGCTTGGTGGCAGGCGCCTGTAATCCCAGCTACTCGGGAGGCTGAGGCAGGAGAATGGCGTGTACCCGGGAGGCGGAGCTTGCAATGAGCCGAGATCACACCACTGCACTCCAGCCTGGGCGACAGAGCGAGACTCCATGTCAAAAGAAAAAAAAAAAGAGTTTGCTGGGAAACTTAAGGTCAAGGGGTGGTCTCACAAAGAAAATGAGTTATTAAGAGAGATTGCTTTTCCTTTTCTGATCTGCCGAGTCCTTGCGTTTCAGGAGCAGGGTGTGCCTGCCTGCCACACACAACCACAAATTCAGGTCTCTCTGCATCTCTGCTGCTGTGTCAATGCTGAGAGAACCCTCATTCCAGACCCCATTCCACTTAGACTAAAGGAAGACTTTGTGTCCACATGGAAAAAGAAACACACAAGAATTGCCAGGAAAACACTGAAAAAGGAAGACAAGGGTAACTAGCTCCACCAGATACTAAAACAGACTACAGAAACCCCATAATTAAAACTGTGTGGCTCTGGTGCACCAACAAACACATGCACTACAAATGAACAATATAACCACCCTGAAGGGGATGGGAAAAATACAGATATAACCTAAGAAGCTTGGAAAACTGCATCTTGACTGCACATAAATGCTGTAATCCAGTAAATGTGTTTCATAGGTTGGGAACTCAGAAATTACTTTATGCATATACTAGAACTGAACATGTAAGTAGTAAGTAAATAAGACAGCAGATGTCCAGTGTCTTACTCTTGGAGAAGGGAGTTAAGAATAAGAAAGGGAAAAAACTAAAATGAATTCTGTTGGGACTAGAACCCAAGGTACAGGATACAATCACGATTTTTAAGATAAATGCAGTGAGAAATACACAGAAATATAGACACATGCACACATGTTGGTATACACATGTATGTTTGCTATTGATGAACACTGAAGCACTGAAGGCGAGCAATGAGAACCAAGCGGTAATGCCTAGGTCTTGGTTTCTAAACACTTCTCCAATAAAAGGAATCAGGGCTGCTTGAAGAAGTGGCTGAATCCAGGGCCTGTGGGGAGCCAAAAACAAACATTTTGTGGAAACATGAAGGAAATGAAAAAAAAAAAAAGGGGGGCTTGATGGAAGAACACAAGAGGCTACTCTCAAAGGAGCACCCTGATGGCCCAAAGGAGAACAACTTAAGCAACTGATTTGGTTTGGCTCTGTTTGTAATCCCCACGTGTCAAGGGAGGGCCCTGTAATCCCCATCTGTAGAGGGAGGGAGGTGACTGGATCATGGGGCGGTCTCTCCCATGCTGTCCTCATGATAGTGAGTTCTCACAAGATCTGATGCTTTCATAAGTGTTTGGAAGTTCCTCCTTCCTTCTTCCCTCTCCTGCCACCTTGTGAAGAAGGTGCCTGCTTCCCCTACCACCATGATTGTAAGTTTCCTGAGGCTTCCCCAGCCATGTGGAACTGTGAGTCATTAAATGTCTTTCCTTTACCAATTACCCACTCTCAGGGAAGTCCTTTAAAGCAGTGTGAAAACAAACTGATACAACAATATAATAAATAGTGATAGTATGGGACTATAACCCACAGAATAAAATAAATACCCATTGAGTCTATATTGAGCTAAACAATCAGATAAATATCTTATTGGAGGAGAAATGACAGATCTCTCCTGCAGTAGAGTTCCAAATAATAAAGAGAGCAAGGAAGAGGAAACAGAAAGTCACCATCAAGCGAACTGCACCTTCGTCATCACTGCACACAAGATATATCAATGGTTGTGGAATCAGTGAGGAAAGGTTTGAGGAGCGATGGGATCTGCACAGGCTCAAAGTATGTCCCCACACTACCTGTTAACTACAGCAGGAAAGATATAAGGAGGTGACATGATGTGGATCTGTGTCCCTGCCCAAATCTCATCTTGAATTGTAATCTCCAGTGTTGCCAGAGGGGCCTGGTGGGAGGTGACCGGATCATGATGGGGGGACTTTTCATGAATGGTTTAGCACCATTCCCACGTGGTACTGTACATTGAGTGAGTTCTCATGAGATCTGGTTGTTTAAAAGTGTGTAGCACCTCCTGCCTCTTTCTCTCCCTCCTGCTCCGGGTCATAGAAGATGAGCCTGCTCCCCTTCACCTTCCACCATGATTGTAAGTTTCCTGAGGTCTCCCCAGAAGCAGAATCTGCCATGCTTCCTGGACAGCAGAACCATCAGTCAATTAAACCTCTTTTCTTATAAACTACCAGTCTCAGGCATTTCTTTCTGGCAATGCAAGAATAGACTAATACAGGAGGAGACATAAAATACAAGAGGATGACCCCAGCAGAACTCACCTTAACCAAGGCACCAAGCTCAGCATCCACTGCAACAAGACACACTGACGTCACAAGCCCCAGACACAGTGCACACCACTTCTGTGGTTTGTGTAACCTCACTCCAACCATATGAAAATGCCAGGCAAATGGAAAGACAGTCAGCAAAATAATGATCAATAGTCTTCAGTTATCAAGGTCATAAAAAACAAAGGAAGACTGAGAAACCCTGACAGGCTGCAGGTGATGAAGAAGTCACAACTCAACGCCACAGGTACCCTTAATGGGAACCTAGAACGATACAAGGAGACAGGTGGAAAACTGGTGAAATTCAAAGGCGGCCTTCGCTTTAGTCATTAGGCGTTGTGACAATGTTAATTTTTCTTTCTTTCTTTCCTTCCTTCCTTCCTTCCTCCTTCCTTCCTTCCTTCCTTCCTTCCTTCCTTCCTTCCTTCCTTCCTTCCTTCCTTCCTTCCTGTCTTTCTTTCCTTCTGTCTTTCTTTCTCTTTTTCTTTCTCTCTCTCTCTCTCTCTTTTTTGAGATGGAGTCTCACTTTTGTTGCCCAGGCT